CCTTCGTCAGTTTATACCCGGTCCGAGGTAGGGGCAAATGGAGGTTAAATGAAGGCCTGCTGGACACTCCCAGCACCTTACTAACTATTCGCAAGACAGCATCCCTTTACTTTAGGGAAAACACGACCGACGGCATTTCCATACAATCCCTATGGGCAACTCACAAGTCTGTGGTTAGGGGAGCTTTAATACAAATAGGTTCACGCAATAAGAGGAAACATAACGAGGAGGTCTCACGGCTATCCCTTGATCTGGCTGCAGCAGAAAAGGGGAACAAACAAAGACCCTCCGTTAAATTATCCAAAACCATAGCCCGCTTACAAACGGACCTCAATGCCCTGTCCCTACAAAGTATAGAAAGGAGCATGAGAACCCTTAAATTAACACACTACATACAAGGAAACAAAGCGGGTAAACTCTTGGCCAACAAACTAAAGTCACAACGCCTTCAGTCAAAGATTCCTTACATCGAATCACAACAAAATATAAAAATATACAACCCCACAGACATAGTGAACTCACTAGCCACATACTATACTAAATTGTACAACTTAAAAGACGACTCCGCAGTGGCCCAACCCACACCCGAATCCATAGACGGGTTCCTCCACAATATCGAGCTCCCACACCTATCGCAAACACAAAAAGATGCACTAGACAGTCCATTCACGGAAGAAGAGGTCTCAAAAGCAATTGCGTCCCTCCCAAAACACAAAGCTCAGGGACCTGATGGCTTCTCAAACTACTATTACATTAAGCTAGAACAGATTCTGACACCAACCCTCACCTCATTATTTAAAGGACCACTATAGTGCCAGGAAAACATACTCGTTTTCCTGGCACTATAGTGCCCTGAGGGTGCCCCCACCCTCAGGATCCCCCTCCCGCCCGGCTCTGGAAGGGGGAAAGGGGTTTAAACTTACCTTTTTCCAGCGCTGGGCGGAGAGCTCTCCTCCTTCTCTCCTCCTCCGTTCGCTTGAGCGCACGCGGGCAAAAGAGCTGCGCAAGTATTCAGTTGATCGCATAGGAAAGCATTTACAATGCTTTCCTATGGACGCTGGCGTGCTCTCACTGTGAAAATCACAGTGAGAAGCACGCAAGCGCCTCTAGTGGCTGTCAATGAGACAGCCACTAGAGGCTTTGGGGGAAGGCTTAACCCATTAATAAATGTTTATGTTTATTAAAAAATGGGTTAACCCTAGTTGGACCTGGCACCCAGACCACTTCATTAAGCTGAAGTGGTCTGGGTGCCTAGAGTGGTCCTTTAATGACATTAAAGTAACAGGGGCCATGCCAAAGGAAATGTTGGAAGCACATATTGTCACTCTACCCAAGCCAGGTAAACCCCCCACTAAATGCGAGAATTTGAGGCCTATTTCACTCCTTAACGCAGACGTCAAACTCTATGCCAAACTCCTCGCATCCCGGGTCAAACCTCTCCTCACAGAACTAGTATCAGCAGAACAAGCGGGGTTCGTCCCAGGTAGACAGGCAGGAGACAACACAAGACATTGCCTGAACCTGATCAGTTGGGCGAGATCCAGCAACCAAAGGGGGGTAGTCCTGGGGCTTGACGCCGAAAAGGCGTTCGACCGGTTAAACTAGGCCTACTTAAAAGCAACCCTACACAAAATGGGCTTCCCACATTCGTTCATGGAGGCCATTATGGCACTATATAGTGCTCCATCCGTTAGGGTCTTCAACACGGGGTTTCTATCAAAGCCATTCTCAATAAGTAATGGAACGAGACAGGGGTGCCCACTATCCCCCCTGCTATTCATCCTCTGCCTGGAGCCTCTCATTCGCCACATTAAACGCCACACTGAGATAAAGGGCCTCACCACCCCGGCAGGTACACAAAAACTAACCCTATTCGCAGATGACATCCTGCTGTTCCTCACACAACCTGAAAAATCCATCCTAACACTGATGTCCCTGCTAACACAGTACGGACAGGTCTCCTACTATAAAAATAACTCCAACAAAACCCAGGTGCTCCCATTGGGCTTACCAGCCACGCTAATAAGAAAGTTAAAAGCAGCACACCCCTTTGACTGGAGAAACACATCCCTAAAATACCTGGGGATCAACCTGACCGCCTCCCCCGCTAAAATCATGCGAGAAAACCACTTACCTTTAATGAACAAGCTACAAACACAGTTGGATAAGTGGCAAACACTGGAAGTCTCATGGATGGGTAGAGTGCAGACCGTCAAAATGATGGTGCTGCCTCATATACTGTACCTATTCCGCACCCTACCTATTGCGCTACCTGACACGCTCCTCAAGAAATTCCAATCCATTATTAATTCCCACATCTGGAAGAAAAAACCCCCATGAATGGCATGCAGACTTACACGGCTCCCACCAAACAAAGGAGGCCTAGGCGCCCCTGACGTAAAAGCTTACTATAAAGCCTCTATCCTAGCCCAGGGTCTGGAGGTCCTTACCCGCCCCAAGCCACCAGTGTGGCTACCCCTAGAGAACGCAATCCTCCACCCAGACACAATAAACCAACAACTGTGGACCATATCCAGGTGTTCGAGCCCTCCCCAACGGGCCTGCCCAACACCAAATTCATGTTGGCCGGCTGGAACAGATGGGCGACGGATCTGATGGGTCAAGCTCACCCACTTTTCTTCGCCCCCCTGTCCCGACTGCGCGACCTGACCAGCGATCTCCCACTGAAAGTATGGATAGAGAAATGGATCAACTCAGTAGGTTCCTTAATAACGCCACAGGGCATCAAACAATTCCCCGAGCTGCAAACAGAATTCGCCCTACCACCTAGGGAAATATTCACATACGTACGCATCAAACACACTCTAACTGCTGCGAAGATACAGCACTGCGAGGCGGACCAAATGACGACTTTCGGCCGGAGTTGTATCTCCCAACAGCAGACTAATAAACCCCTCTCTCTGTGCTACAATGCACTAAATGATGCGGACAGATGTACAAAACTCGACATATGAATATGAACGCCTAGCATTTAGACTGAAAGGCCGTGAGACCAAACACACACTTCTATGGCAAAGCTGGCATTCGGCACCTACCCCAAACTAAGGAGGGACCGAATCGCCATATGGGGAGATTGGGAGGACAGAGTACAACCCACCAGCCATCCTATACCGCACAACCACTATATCACTATTTCACGTACTATATCTATAGGCTCAAGCTGGAAATTCTCTCACATAAAAAGTGCCTACTGGGGCCTAGAAGAGGGTGTACAATTCCCCCACTCCCCCCAAGTAAGATACCTCATTGGTACCACCAGCCACGACCTCATGCGACCCCCACCGCCCTGGTATGCCTGCTGGTGCCGTCCGAACCACTCGCTTCTTGTATTTTGTTTCGCAAGTATATGCTATACTTTCATTTATCATGTGCTATGACTGTAAAGATGTGTATGACATTATGATGCTTCAAAGTAAATGTTACCCCCCTTCCCTCTTCCTTTCTGTACCCCTCATTATTCTCGTTTTCTATGTATATCTAACATATATATACCTCAATAAAAACAAGACATTGAAAAAAAAAAAAATTCATGCAGTTTATGACAGGACTCACTATAAACCTGAATATTATATTTATTTAATAAATTCATGCAGTTTATGACAGGACTCACTATAAACCTGAATATTATATTTATTTAATAAATTCATGCAGTTTATGACAGGACTCACTATAAACCTGAATATTATATTTATTTATTAAATTCATGCAGTTTATGACAGGACTCACTATAAACCTGAATATTATATTTATTTATTAAATTCATGCAGTTTATGACAGGACTCACTATAAACCTGAATATTATATTTATTTAATAAATTCATGTAGTTTATGACAGGACTCACTATAAACCTGAATATTATATTTATTTAATAAATTCATGCAGTTTATGACAGGACTCACTATAAACCTGAATATTATATTTATTTATTAAATTCATGCAGTTTATGACAGGACTCACTATAAACCTGAATATTATATTTATTTATTAAATTCATGCAGTTTATGACAGGACTCACTATTAACCTGAATATTATATTTATTTATTAAATTCATGCAGTTTATGACAGGACTCACTATAAACCTGAATATTATATTTATTTATTAAATTCATGCAGTTTCTCACAGGACTCACTATAAACCTGAGTATTATATTTATTTAGTAATTCATGCAGTTTATGACAGGACTCACTATAAACCTGAATATTATATTTATTTATTAAATTCATGCAGTTTATGACAGGACTCACTATAAACCTGAATATTATATTTATTTATTAAATTCATGCAGTTTATGACAGGACTCACTATAAACCTGAATATTATATTTATTTATTAAATTCATGCAGTTTATGACAGGACTCACTATAAACCTGAATATTATATTTATTTATTAAATTCATGCAGTTTATGACAGGACTCACTATAAACCTGAATATTATATTTATTTATTAAATTCATGCAGTTTATGACAGGACTCAGTATAAACCTGAATATTATATTTATTTATTAAATTCATGCAGTTTATGACAGGACTCACTATAAACCTGAATATTATATTTATTTATTAAATTCATGGAGTTTATGACAGGACTCACTATAAACCTGAATATTATATTTATTTATTAAATTAATGCAGTTTATGACAGGACTCACTATAAACCTGAATATTATATTTATTTATTAAATTCATGCAGTTTATGACAGGACTCACTATATATTTATTTGTGATTAGAGAAATGAGGCGGGGCTCTATTTAAATATCTAGGTAACGGACCCAGCGCGAGCCGCCATCACAGCCACGCCCCCTCCTTCCATCCCTCCCCTCGCCATTACCGGCGATTGGCAGCTGCCGTCACTCAACACACGTTACACAGAGACCAATCGAGTGAAAAGGCGGGGACTCGATTAACTGGCCGCTCATCCAATCGGCAGGCGGGAAAGGCTTGGGGGCGGGGTTATAATCCGCAGTCCAAGAGCAGATGGTGCTGAAGCTTAGAGCGCTGCCGCCGGTGCGAGGGAGAACATCGTCTGCGTCAACGTCCGGTCCGGGAGGGAGAGCAGCCGGTCCGGGAGGGAAGGAGGGAGGGAGGGGGCTGCATGGACACAGGGCGGCTATAGGCTGGGCCCAGGGTAAGCTATATATAGATAGATAGATAGATAATAATATAACAATAATAATATAATATAGATAATATAATATTACAATAATATAATAATTATAAAACTATAGATAATAATATAATAATGATAACAATATACTACTACTAATTTTATAATAATAATATAGATAATAATATAGGGAGAGAGGGCCGAGGGGGTCTGTATAGCACAGGGAGTTATTATTATTATTATTATTAATTATAGGACATTCTCTGAGTATTGGGGTAAGCTATAAGAGAGAGGGCCGAGGGGGTCTGTATAGCACAGGGAGTTATTATTAATAAATAATAGGACATAAGAATGAACCAGTGACGAGAGGATTCATATATTATCTATGAACTTAATAAACTGTGTCTAATAGCTTGTCTTTATATATACAAGGTTTGTGTACATGTAGGACACAGGGTTTATATAGGGAGTATAAAGAATATCCATAGTAGATAATAAGGTCTGGTGCAGTAGTTATGGTAGGTGTACAGGTCATATAAAGAGGGAGGGGGCTGCAGGAATAGCACAATCCTATTATGTGAAGCAATGGTTTGGGGTGATCATACAAAAAGGGTTTTTTAATAGTGTTTATATAGGCACATACATAATTTGTATACCAGTTTCCATACCCCCCTTTTTTAGAGTGAGATAGAAAGAGGGTGTTTTGTTTGTAGAAGTCAGGTTTAGCGGTAAAATAAAATTTCTCACCCAGGTTGTGCATGGTCCAGGTGTGCAAGCAGTGTGTAGTACAGGTTTGTTTACAACATTTGTCATGTTGTCGATGAAAATATTTGAGATTTAGTGGACTAAAGCTAGATTAAAACTGAAACAATTCAGCAGACTAAAATACGACTAAAAAACTAAAATGGGTTTTTCGTCAAAAGACTATGACTAAAACTAAATTGAAATTTGCTGCCAATAATAACTGATTTACAGGTGCAGTGATGGGCTCGGAAGGCGTGCCAGCTTTCTTCACTTGGGAAGAAGTACAGCGACACAACACTCGCGAAGAGCGATGGCTGGTCATTCATCGCAAGGTGTACGATATCACCAGGTTCTGCAAGATACACCCAGGAGGGACGCGGGTCATAAGCCACTATTCAGGACAAGATGCCACCGTGAGAAAAATCACAATATTAGCACTGGGAGTGGGCATCATACACCCATGGGGATAAAGGGAGGTCACGCATTCCAGAGTCTGTCAAAATCTCAAATGGTGGGGTGCAGAGATTAAACAATTCACTTATGGATTAAGAATAGTCAGACAATACACAGGGTATTTACAGTATGACATGTGTATTACGTCAAGTATTAAATATGGGGAGTGATAATCTATAACCATTAGAGACACTAGAGCACATTCATTTTTTTTTAAATTTCACAATTTTGGGTTCCAGCCCTGAAATTCCTGTACATTAATGGCACATTAAGGGCAGAGAGAATCTAACTTACAAGGTACTATGCACATCTTTGTGGCTTATCTGGGCATTATTCCACATTGATAAATATAGGCACAGCCCATGTCACCGCCACTGATAACATTATGTCATGGAGGGATACCTGTTTGTTGAAGAGATATATAAATATATCTCTTACCTATGTGTGACTATATATTAACAAACAGGACTAATTCAAATTTCGCTATAGGCCTTACGGAGTTTGCATTTTGTTTTTCTTCTCTATTTTTCTTGCCGTTATTGTTGCTAAATTAGTAGTATCTCTGTTTTATTCACTGAGAGTAAAGTATTAGTTATTTATAAATATACTTTGCATTAACAAAAACAGGAACGTAACATTGATAACGGGCTGACTTAACTCAGCTGATTAATTCTTATCTCCCCAAACTATCTCTGTTTCTAACACTGCTAGTTTGCAGTGAATGATTTAAGTAAATATCCATAGATCACAATTACAACATTAATGGCTTTATAAAGCAGCACGTTACCAGCATAAAATGATCACTTCATTTATAGTAAAATGTTAGCTATACCTTACATGCTGAAGGGTTACTTTATTAGTATTTATTATTATTATATATATTAGTATGCTTAATGAATATGTGGCTGTATTTATTTAAAACTCATTACACGCTTTGTGTAGATTATAGATCTGTGTATGTGCGGATGCTCAGTTTAACAGATTACACATGTGTAGTCCACAGAGTCAGGTGTTAGATCTTTGTAGCACTGCCTGCATTCTGCTCATTCACAGGATTGGTGCAGGCCTGTGGTACGACCATATGCTCAGCCCACTTCCCCCCATCACCATCCTCTCCCTCCCTGTCCTGGGGGGGGAGTAGCTGGGCTAGTTTATGTCATACTACAGACATCATTCACAAATTAACCTCTGATGTTCTGCTCTGTGGAGCCCAAAAGAGATACATGTTTTGGAAAAGAAAGAAATTCTGCAAAAGAACAAATAGCATCAAAAAAGATAAGAAATAGAGCAGCACTTTTAGTATAGTTATCTACCACTGACAAAAGAATTCTCCCAGGTCTATTTACAGCAAGGCCAATGAGTGCTCCAAACTTGGCAGCTTTTAAAGAGGAAACAATGATCCACCTAGTAGAAATGTGTCACAATTTATGCATTTATACAGCGTGCGCACAGTGACAGAATAACACATTTTTACATTGAAAATTATTATTTGTGGTTAATTTCCGTGCTGGAGGTATGAGTTTCATTTGTGTTTTCCAGCCTGACAATTTGCCTAGGGTCACCATGACTACAGTCCTAAACTGAATATATATAGGGATTTGAAAAATGCAAAACACATGCAGTTGTTTTTAAGTAATAGCCCATTACATATCATAGGGGTTTCAGCTAAATTGTTCATTTTGCTCTCACTTATAACGATAGAGGAATTAACTATTTTGCTTCAATGGGGAATTTAAAAAATGTTGAGCTGTAAATATGTCCCATACATAGCAGTGTGGGACACTTAAATGTTTACATCATGCATATTTTTCTGTGTGTTTTCAGGATCCATTCACTGCCTTCCACATCGACAAGGACTTGGTGCACAAGCGTTTAAAGTGTCTGCTGATTGGGGAACTTTCTCCTGGGGAACCAAGCATAGAACCCAGCAAAAATGTGAGCATTCGGCTGAGGGCCATTTATTTTGTTTCCCAAGTCTGACAGCCTTCCTATACCAATCTTTTTGATAGTGTATTCTCATGTTTACTTGCTGTCTTTCTTACAGGCTGCCATGGTGGAGGATTTTCGTAGTCTGCGGTCTACAGTGGAGCGGATGGGTCTCTTGAAACCCAATAAGTTATTCTTCTTTGGCGTCTTGATTCATATTATATTGCTTGATGTAGTGGCCTGGGCTACACTCTACTACGGTGGTACCTCACTCATCCCAATACTGATTTGTGGTTTAATTCTGGGCACAGTGCAGGTACAGAGTTCTCACCAGGTGGTCATGAGTATAACTGACTCTTGTATCAAATATCATCAGAATCCGTGAGCTGTCTCTTTCCACCACATTTCCCTTTTTTCCATAAAATGTAGACTGTCTCTTTGGTTCAGGTGGTCCATTCTCCAGCCTTATCTTTATTTAATCTTATTGTGATATGTCATATTCATCTTAGTTGATTTCATTTTTGCCAGCTGTCTTAGTGTGTTACTCAGCTGTCTGACGTGTGTCACCATTCTCTCTTATGATTAAATGGAATCAGTCTTAAAATTACATAACAGGAGTCTCTCAACTTAACCTTTACCACACTTATGTTTCTGTTGTTAAACCAAAATAAGTCGAAATACCCAGTTTAAGCCATTTCCCAATGTGCCACAAAAAGGGCGAATATCCTTCTTTACTCCAAGGTGCAGTAAGATGTATTATTGTGTCATCAAATTATTAATACACTGCACATTAACTATTAAATCCTAAAATAGATATTTAAAAATCCACACATTACAAATATCTACTAACCTGATAAAATAGCTTCTGTAAGGCAGAGAAGCCCATTTCCTTTTGTTTTTAGCCTGAAGAACCAGTTTCTTCTCTTTTCTTCAAATGTCAGTTGATCATCTCTTGTTTTATGTATAGTTATGTCAATGAACAGGTGAAGAGAGCTGTTTTTCTTTTTGGTCCATCCACATATTTGTGTAATGTTTTCATATAACACATGATTTTTTAAAGTTCAACTTTCTGTCCCTTCATTATTAAGATCTTCCATCCATTTCATTAACTTTGCACTCAAACGCTAAACTTTTACTAGTTCCATAATATGTTTCCTTAAATCAGTCCCCTGAAATTGTACAACATTAAAGTGTGGATTTTGCCATTGATTTATACAGAGCAAAAATATATTTTTAGCAATCTATTAGAATCCCTTACCTACCCAAACTCTGCTGACTGAGATTGCAAAATGTTTCGCAGTATAGTAACGTTTTCCTTAAAGAGGCTATGTCACTTAAGGTAATATCCCCCATTGTGGTTAGCAGTAGTTACCTGGAGCTGTTCACTGCGGGTGCAGACATTTTCTTCAGCTCCTGGTGCATGATTCACCATGAGTTGCATCAGTACTGTGCTATTGTGCTTGCGCAAGAGTACAACACTGATGTCAATGGAGGATCCAGCAAGACTGCAGGATTCTACATAGACCAAGGTTTGCGAGTGGTGAGATTCAGCCAGATTTCCACAGCCAATGCTACTGATTGCAGGGGGTATTGGCAGAACTTATGACAACCCTAGGCTTTATCATAAGAAAATAAAGTCCCTCACTGACCTGTGGCCAGACGACAGATAACGGAGCAGTGAGACTGCAGGAGAAATGATCAATACACTATAATTGCTTCATTAAATTAAAGTTGTTTTGGTGATTAGCGTGTACCAAATTTTATCTGCCACTTGCCTGCATAGTCCCCCAATTTATCCACATCCATCTTCAGAAAAGTCACAGTCTGGTGAGTCTGAAAATAACTTTTTTTAGTGGTGTGTTGTCTGCAATCGCTGAGAAATAAAAGATTAATGAACAGATTCCATAATTGCCCTCCTTTTAAATGAGTGTCGAAAATTGCACAACATATTCATAGTTGAGTGTTTCCATTGATTTGTAAAGAGGCAACATGATGTAAATTAATACCCCTTTTTGTGCATGTCAGTAACACTGGCTTTACAGCTACTCACTAACAGTGTGCATTTTTGCGTTGTTAACTGCGTATATTTCTTCTCAAATCTTTCTGAGCAGGCTGTGTGCTTCTTATACCAAAATTCTCGCTTATTGTCTTAGCATCAGAGACGGTCTGGTTCTTGCTCAGAGTTAGGTTGCCTCTGCCTGTTATAATTCTTCTCTTATAATCAAACTTTCTGAAATCCTACTGCCATATGTTTTGTTCTCTTTCTAGGTTGTTTCCTTGCTATTTCCTTACTAGACTTTATCCCTTTAAGGATGTTTCTGTATCCCATTGTTTTCTCACAGTTTGGCTGTCTTGCTCCTTTTCAGGCTCAAGCTGGTTGGCTGCAACATGATTTTGGGCATTTGTCAGTTTTCAGCCAATCTAAATGGAATCACGTGGTACATAAATTTGTGATTGGACACCTGAAGGTAAGAAATTACCCTTTGTACACTTTTTACCAGTTTTAAAATATAGACAAGAACAAAAATATACACAAGAACACCCACCACACTATTTGTTTTCTCTTAGCTTCCAATTGGCACTCCAGCTCTTAATATTCTCTCCTGTGCCTCATACGGACCCTTCCATTCTTTGTAATCTCTCCTGTGCTTCATACGGACCCTTCCATTCTTTGTAATCTCTCCTGTGCCTCATACGGACCCTTCCATTCTTTGTAATCTCTCCTGTGCCTCATACGGACCCTTCCATTCTTTGTATTCTCTCCTGTGCTTCATACGGACCCTTCCATTCTTTGTAATCTCTCCTGTGCTTCATACGGACCCTTCCATTCTTTGTATTCTCTCCTGTGCTTCATACGGACCCTTCCATTCTTTGTAATCTCTCCTGTGCATCATACGGACCCTTCCATTCTTTGTAATCTCTCCTGTGCCTCATACGGACCCTTCCATTCTTTGTATTCTCTCCTGTGCTTCATACGGACCCTTCCATTCTTTGTAATCTCTCCTGTGCCTCATACGGACCCTTCCATTCTTTGTAATCTCTCCTGTGCCTCATATGGACCCTTCCATTCTTTGTAATCTCTCCTGTGCCTCATACGGACCCTTCCATTCTTTGTATTCTCTCCTGTGCCTCATACGGACCCTTCCATTCTTTGTATTCTCTCCTGTGCCTCATACGGACCCTTCCATTCTTTGTATTCTCTCCTGTGCTTCATACGGACCCTTCCATTCTTTGTAATCTCTCCTGTGCCTCATACGGACCCTTCCATTCTTTGTAATCTCTCCTGTGCTTCATACGGACACTTCCATTCTTTGTAATCTCTCCTGTGCCTCATACGGACCCTTCCATTCTTTGTAATCTCTCCTGTGCCTCATACGGACCTTTCCATTCTTTGTAATCTCTCCTGTGCCTCATACGGACCCTTCCATTCTTTGTAATCTCTCCTGTGCTTCATACGGACCCTTCCATTCTTTGTAATCTCTCCTGTGCTTCATACGGACCCTTCCATTCTTTGTATTCTCTCCTGTGCCTCATACGGACCCTTCCATTCTTTGTAATCTCTCCTGTGCCTCATACGGTCCCTTCCATTCTTTGTATTCTCTCCTGTGCTTCATACGGACCCTTCCATTCTTTGTATTCTCTCCTGTGCTTCATACGGACCCTTCCATTCTTTGTAATCTCTCCACACCAGCCTCCTCTGAGGACCCTTCAACTCTTTGTAATCTCTCCTGTGCTTCATCTGAGGACCCTTCCATTCTTTGCCAATCTTCCTCCTGTGCTTCATCTGGACCCTTCCATTCTTTGTAATCTCTCCGCAAAGCCGTCATACGGACCCTTCCATTCTTTGTAATCTCTCCTGTGCCTCATCACGGACCCTTCCATTCTTTGTATTCTCTCCTGGTAAGCTTCATCTGGACCCTTCCATTCTTCCAGCCCCATTCTCTCCACTATTGCTTCATACGGACCTTCATTCTTTTGTAATCTCTCACACCAATGCTTCATCACGGACCCTTCCATTCTTTGTATTCTCTCCTGTGCTTCAGCGGACCCTTCCATTCTTTGTAATCTCTCCCTGTGTGCATCATCTTGAGGACCCTTCCATTCTTTGTAATCTCCTGCCTCATCACCGGACGGCCCTTCCATTCTTTGTATTCTCTCCTGTGCTTCATACGGACCCTTCCATTCTTTGTATTCTCTCCTGTGCTTCATACGGACCCTTCCATTCTTTGTAATCTCTCCTGTGCTTCATACGGACCCTTCCATTCTTTGTATTCTCTCCTGTGCTTCATACGGACCCTTCCATTCTTTGTAATCTCTCCTGTGCCTCATACGGACCCTTCCATTCTTTGTAATCTCTCCTGTGCCTCATACGGACCCTTCCATTCTTTGTATTCTCTCCTGTGCTTCATACGGACCCTTCCATTCTTTGTAATCTCTCCTGTGCCTCATACGGACCCTTCCATTCTTTGTAATCTCTCCTGTGCCTCATATGGACCCTTCCATTCTTTGTAATCTCTCCTGTGCCTCATACGGACCCTTCCATTCTTTGTAATCTCTCCTGTGCCTCATACGGACCCTTCCACTCTTTATAATTGTCTCTTGCACTTGCTAATGGTCTTACCGCCAGTGCTTCCCATGGACCCCCCTATTCTTTGTATTATTTCCTTTGCTTCCTATTTGGGTAACTGTATTTGTATTAATTTCCAGTTTTTTGAGGGTGTATCAGTTGTAGGCAACTTTTGCACTCCAAATGTTGTGGACTAAATCTCCCCTGATGCTTTGCCAGCATTTTGGCTGTAAGAGCATTATGGGAGATGTAGCCTACCCCTGGATTATAGCGAAGCCAGGCGATGGCTTTTCGTTTCAGTGCCGCTGTGTGCAACAAGGAGACAAAGCTGTGTATAGTTGGGCTCCTGCTTTAAATGCAGCACAGCTCCGGAAGGCTTGCTCTTGCACTGTAGTCATGTGTGATGTTACATGCACATTGAAAGCCAAGTGGGAGCTTTGCTTAGATCTCGCGGGAAGGGGAGACTATAGTGTGACCAGGAAATCCTTGTGGGAAAGATTGGGGGGAACTAGGAGCATGGAGGGGGTAACTAGGGGTAAGATATCTAAGTGAAATGGCAATCGAAGTAATGAATACAAGTGGGACCATATTGTGATAAAAGGGAAGAAGCAAAATTGGATGAAAAACAATAGTAATAAGGTAATTGTATTTAGTAGAGAAAGATTATAGAAGAATGGGCACGCATATATGTATTCTTATGTAAATATAGGTATTATATTGAGAGGGATCCTACACACAAATTAGACAATTCTTTCTTCACACATACACAGATATACCACAAAATGACATACATATAGACACGATACAAGAACACCACTGAATTCACCTGTAACGAAACACTCCATGCATGAACCTTCATTCACATACACTGACATTCACACACACTGACATTCATTAAACAACAAATGGCAAAATTAAAGCTGAAATAGCTAATCTGGAAAAAAATTCCAGCTGATCTATTGTCAAATCTTCTTTATTGTATCTTTAATCTTGACATTCAGAGTTCAATTCATTACAATTTGGAGTTAATTGTAACAATCCACACAATTATACCATTCATTTCAAACACAGTGACACCACACACAACACCTCTAATACATTCAAAGCACATCATCCTGGAATCGTTGCTCAGTTGACAGTTATGCAATCCAACACTCTTTGTGCATTGTGGATGTGATGTGTAGCACTCTCCACATGCGCATCCACTCAAATGCTTCTCATAGCAAAGCATTACATTTTTTTTTTTTTTTTCATTCAAGGTTTATTAGCTTCATTGGTGTTTACATCAGAAAGGCATATATGTGCGTAAAAAATAATGTAGCAAGATAACATCGTAGTATAACATCGTACTTAACAGGTATAGTGGTGAAAGAAAGGTAAATAATAGGTAGCTCTAAGGTAACATGGTAGGTTGGCTGGTCGATGGTAGCACAAAGCAACACATTCTCCTATTTAAACATGTCAATATGATTCCGAACCTTGCAATGTCTGTCAAACATCAACAGCCTAAATCGGCCTCAGCAAGCACAGCCTCTAGGTTTAGTGATACAATATTTAAATGAAAACAATATTAAAATTAAAGTTAACAATTAAATGAAAAGATAAATGTCCAGACTCTCCGTGGAGTCAGGAATAGGGTGGAGGGATTACGTGGAGGCCCTCGTGTGAGCTGCGGAGTATATTTGTCTCCGTGCTTCCTTGGGTCTGATTCGGTGCACGTATCTCCGGGCATTTTATCACGCCAAAGTAAAAGTGGGGTGGGTTGAACAAGGCTAGTGTCTGATTGTTATGTATAGTCGACTTACGCCTCAGTGTGCACCTCAATTGCTGGTAACTAGGTAACAGAGCAAAAATCTATACGTACTAGTAAGAAAGTAATCTACATTGGATATAAACTTTACTGTACTGCGTAATCAAGCTATGTCTATCTTAGCCTGTGATTATGCTGTCGGCACAGTGAAACGTATATGTATTAGAGAAAAAAAAAACACCCCTGCAGGTGTAGCGCTTATACTGGTTCAAAGCATAATTAAGCATAGTTGGCTAAACAGTAGTAATATAAGACTGTGCAAAGCATGGTGTAGGTCACGTCCGGTTCTAGAACAAAATTGTTCCCGTCTTCTAAGAAGGAAAGACGTAAAAAGGGGAAAAAGGGCCTGCGTGAAGTCCCCATTTAAACACCCGTGGGATTATGTCCCAGCAGTCAAAAGGGGCCTTGTGCCGTGCACGCGCGGCCGGGCGTAGTAAGACACCCTGATATAAAATGATAAAAGGAGGAAAGTAAGGGAATTTAACATGGCAAGTACATTTGGTTTTATGCCGGGGTATAAACACTTAAGTACTCGGCATACAATGCAGTAACAATCTTATGTAGATGTTGCCTAGTGTTGAGCGTTCTAAACTAACATAATAATAAAGAGTGTTCACAGCGTATTTAACGTATGGTAAGTCCACATCCAGAGTCAATCTTCGATCAAAAAGTTATATGAAACTGTGAGACCTAAGGGTTGCTTGACATGTCCGTGGGCTCACCGTGGTGTACAATAACCCAGGGCACCAGGCCTCCAAACATCATCCCCAGGCCCCCACAGCTTCCCCCTTGGGCACCCCAGCACAGTGGGCACTCAGAGGCAACGTGAGTCCATGCATTCCCCCCCCCCAAGAGTCTGCAGACCCAGCGCCTCCTGCACCTCCCCTGAACCGTTGGCGCATTGCGGGGTAATCAGATGTCCGTGAACGTCTCGCCCACTGCCGGCCTCAGACACGGGGGAGGGCACGCCGCCCCTCGCCACCGGTCCGCCAGAGGCAAGCGGACCCCCACCCCGCAGGGCTCTCAGCCGTGGGGACATTTCTCTCCGGGCGCCCGCCAGACCCAGCGATTGGACATCCGTGGCCTGTGGGTGGTCTGGGACATCCGTCTGCGTCCGTCAACCCCAGGCCCGTACTGACGGTCAGTGGTGCCCCAAAGGACGGTGGTATATGTCCCCTCGGTCTCGTTTGCTGTCGGGGCCCCTTTTTGGAAGTCATTGCCAGTCTAGGAGGGCAGCCTGGGCCCAGCACGGAAACTCTCGTCTCGGCGCGTGTCGCCTCCATGTGGCCGGGATCTCCCCCACCGGCCTGGGGGGGGGAGCGGGGCCGGACCCCGAGCCAGGAGCTCCTGCCACCAGGGTAAGTGTCTGCTGCTTGTCGTCCGTTTCCCAGCGTAGTCAGCATGCGTTCCACCCGATCAGCAGTCACCTGAGTCTGGTCTTGCTGCTGTGGGTAGGCCGTGAACTTGTTTTCGGTGCACTCAGACGGTTTTGGGTCACCAACTGGTATCCTCTTGGAGCTGGGGTTGTCCTCCATATTATTGCAACAGGTATTCTGGTCTTGGGGCCCCCCGTGGCCATTTCAAGTGCCATTTGTTGTTTTAAGCCTGGAGCCATATCAATCTGCTTCCATGTGGCTCGGCGGTCCGGCCCCGCCCCCAAGCATTACATTTTATACCTTCCTATGAGCTGCATTTGATGACATTCGACATCCTTATGGAACATCATATGATAGAGTTTCACTTGGTTGTTGCAGAGGAAGCACACTCAGTCGCCGTCAGGAAGACAGCCATAAGAAGTGTGCTTTGCCCTTTAAAGTACACATTGCTGTTTCTACAAAACGGCAATCTTTTGCATTGCAGGGTTAAAATTGAAGTGAACACTTTATTGAGATGAAGTCATCTCATTGTGAATGAATTTAGTTCTACTTTAAAATACAGTTCTGTGCAATGTTTTTTATTTTCTTTTACATTTCCTCACCGATTAATAAATGTTATAGAGCCCCTCAGGATCTGCCCCTGTATTATGGATTGCACTTTTTCATTCAATTTTTCCAAATTCTCACACAGGGTGCTCCTGCTAGCTGGTGGAATCACTTGCACTTCCAGCATCATGCCAAACCCAACTGTTTTCGCAAGGATCCCGATATTAACATGCACCCACTGTTCTTTGCACTGGGCAAGAAGTTGTCTGTAGAGGTGAGTCCAGAAAGTGATGGGAGGCAAGTGGTATTTGAGTGGATGGAAAAGGCTAATTCAAAGGGGGTAAAGACATTGAAAGGCAATATGTATAATATAAAACGCTGGATGACCGATGTCTAATTCCTATACTGATGGGATGGGTTGGAAAAGTATCCCTACTGTCACTGTGACATGTGAAAAAACCCCTAAATGGACATTTTGTTCATGTTGAGGTTCAGGTTAGTAAATAGAACTGACAAAGCATAGGCTTGGATAACTGACAGTCTGTGCCAAGATGTGTTTAAAGATGTCTGTCAGACAGGGGGAGTGGGAAAGCTACCCAGATAATTTATTCAATAATCTCTATACATGTGAATTAAAAAGAAAATGAAAACAATTGGATTTTATTACATATCGATTACATTGAGATACTAAAAAAGCTTTAATGATAGTTATCTTTTAGGAAGTAGTAAAGTAAGTACAATAGAAAGCATGTCTCAGACATTGATCTGTGTTCCATGAAATCTGCTGGCATTAAAAGAACACTCGAATCCCAATAACCACTGGAACATAGTGGTTATGGTGCAAGGACGTTCTAGGCTTTTTATACCAAACTATTTTTGAGTAGTTTGATGGAACTATGGCTACCATGGCACACACACCTTCTTTTGCCTCCTGCCATCAAGATAATGATGATTTATTATATCATTGTGTGTTCAGCCAATGATATGTGCAGCACTCGCAGCCTACCATTGGTCTCCATATTTGTATCACTCGCAGCCTATCATTGGTCTCCATATTTCTATTTCGTGTCGCCTATCATTGCTCTCCATATTTGTATTTCGTGTAGCCTATCATTGCTCTCCATATTTGTATTACTCGGGTGGCGGTATGGAAACCGGGACCCCTGAGTGCCTGATGAGAAGTGGGAGTCTTCAGCGTGGAAGTGGATTATCAGGGCCTGGTGCAGGGCAACCGCATGCCCCCTGGTGTTGAGCACCAGTGTTTGTGCAGCCACATACCAGAACCCCGATTCAGCTTATGCGGATCTCAGGAACTAGGAGCTTGGAATTAAGCAGACCTCCCAGGAGCTGAATAGGGAGGCTTTGCAGCAGCGATGTATCCAGTACTGAAGCAATGCAAGACTAGAGATAGGCACCATACACGAAAACAAGACAAAATTAGGAGAACAAGGCAAGACTAGAGATAGGCACCATACACGAAAACAAGACAAAACCAGAGCAGGACAGAAAGCAGAACCCAGAACATGTACACAAGACATAAGGAAAACAAGAACATAACATGGACATGACTGGACAGGACTGTACATGGACTGGGATTACAAGACTAAATAAAACAAGACAAGAAAAGTATGGGGATTTAGTTACATTATATGATCATACATTGCACAAGCCTGCCAACAACGCCAATGTACCCCATATCTGGCAGGTCCTACACTGCCTAATGTATGCTAAAACAACCACACTATGCCGTTTCTTGCAGGTAAGTGCTATTGTGGTAGAGACTTGAAACACTGCTGCAGGTCCAGGCTGAAACAAAAGGAAAGTGGAAAGCAAACGGGTGTGGCAACATAAAACAAACATTTAAATGAATCTAAGAGACTGGGAAATCCAGGGACGGAATATAAGAATGAACCCAGAAAGCCAGCAACAAAGAAAACCAGACATAGACCAGAAAACCAGAAAAACCAAGCAAGGACAGCAAAAAGAGTACTGGATACCAGAAGCCATTGCCAGAATGATCCGCAGCGAGGAACAGGATGTGACACTATCATTGCTCTCCATATTTGTATCACTCATAGCCTGTCATTGCTCTCCATATTTGTATCACTCATAGCCTGTCATTGCTCTCCATATTTGTATCACTCGCAGCCTATCATTGCTCTCCATATTTGTATCACTCGCAGCCTATCATTGCTCTCCATATTTGTATCACTCGCAGCCTACCATTGCTCTCCATATTTGTATCACTCGCAGCCTATCATTGCTCTCCATATTTGTATCACTCGTAGCCTACCATTGCTCTCCATATTTGTATCACTCGCAGCCTACCATTGCTCTCCATATTTGTATCACTCGCAGCCTACCATTGCTCTCCATATTTGTATCACTCGCAGCCTACCATTGCTCTCCATATTTGTATCACTCGTAGCCTATCATTGCTCTCCATATTTGTATCACTCGTAGCCTATCATTGCTCTCCATATTTGTATCACTCGTAGACTATCAATGCTCTCCATATTTGTAACACTCGTAGCCTATCATTGCTAAGGGGCATCAGGGCTTAGCTTTAGTAATACAGATATGTGTTGTTGTTTTTTTTTTGTATATATAGAAGCATCCCTCCCAAAATTGCGAGATATTAGATCGGATGCGTGGGCGGGCCTGGCAGTGATACAACTCCCATCAATGGTGACACTCATAATGGATGGGACCACCATCTGTAAAAGGGGCAAGCCCACCCACTGTAGGGGCCTGACTGGACAGCCTCCAGCTTGCAAGTCTTTGCATATAGCGCCACTGAATTAATACCCTGCAGGGTTCAAGTGGATATAGAAACAGGGAACTATTTTCTATTTTATTTTGGCGGTGAGGACCCTGAAATTGGGACTGTCCTGCCAAAACTGGGATTGTTGGGGGGTCTGCAGTGATGTGTTATGTACCAAACACACTGTGACATACATATAATCTTATTGCTAATTTGTGACAGCTATATCTCTCTCCTTCATTTCAGCTCGGAATTAAAAAGAAGAAGTATATGCCATATAACCACCAGCACAAGTATTTCTTCCTGAGTGAGTATATAGCCCTGGAAGGTGGCAGTAATGTCTGTCACGGTGAAAGGTATTGAAATATAACCAATGTACCCTCCTTCTTTCTGCAGTTGGTCCCCCTGCACTGATTCCTCTTTATTTTCAATGGTATATTTTCTACTTTGCTGTACATCGCAAGCAGTGGGCGGTAAGTACTAATGATTATAGGAAACGAGAAGTGCTATTATATTGGTGTACTGGTCATTACTCATTAATCTGCTGTTTTTCCCACAGGACCTGGCCTGGATGATTTCTTTCTATGTGAGATTTGGGCTGTGTTACATTCCCTTACTCGGTGTGGGTGGAACGATTAGTATGTTCATGTTGGTTAGGTAAGCACTGCATACATACGTACAGATTCGAGGATTAGATTTGGTAACAGTTTGTTATGACAGTCAGATGTTGCTGTGCGTTGTACAGTACTGTCATGTACAAAAATAGGTATTATTAAAGTAACAAATATACGTCTTATTGTTTAGCTGATAAACCCCACCAAAAACAAAAAGTGTGAGTGGTATTATTAGAGGGTTAGTCCAACAAAAACCTGTTTTAAGAAAACATTGATTTTGGTTACATTAAAGGACCATACTCATTTTCCTGGCACTATAGTGCCCTGAGGGTGCTCCCACCCTCAGGGTCCCCCTCCCGCTGGGCTCTGGGGGGAGGAAGGGATACAGCTTACCTCTTTCTCCAGCGCCGGGCGAGGAGCTCTCCTCCTCCATAGCGACGTGATCGGCTGAATGCACATGCGCGGCAGGACCTGCGCGCACAGTGAGAAGCACGGAAGCACCTCTAGCAGCCTGGATTAACCCTATTATAAACATATCAGTTTCTCTGAAACTGCTATGTTTACAGCAGAAAGGGTTAATCCTAGCTGGACCTGGCACCCAGACCACTTCATTAAGCTGACGTGGTCTGGGTGCCTATAGTGGTCCTTTAACCATTACTGTGTTGGTCCTCCCTGGTCAAAATAAAAAAACTAAACTTAAATTTACCTGTATTCCAACGCAGAGCCAAGTTATCCCCTCAGTCTGATCCTCCACCACTGATGTCACTCCCCAGAGGAGGGATGTAGGGGAGGATGGCTGTTTGTTCTAGAAAAAGAGGACTCTTGGAGGGGATATGAAAAGTAGAATAGTAATTCAAATACTCATTTATGCACCCTAGACGTACAGTGAAAGAAAATCCACCGCTCAGAAATGGTGAAAATGTCATAGGACCTTTTGTATGTAAGGTTTTGCCTACAGTACTATAGATATTAGCAAAGGAGTGGCAGATTCAGCAGTAACATTCATAGTACATTACACAATTATGTTTTGATTGCTATGGTAAAATCATCAATTTCTCCTGCAGCTGAAAGGAACCTTTCAGAAAAAGAAATTTTGAAATATGCAATTAGTCCCTTTCTGTGTAGCCAGAATGCATAGGGCACTATAGGAATTAGGGTGTCCACAAATCTGTTGTGATGTGTTTGTAATCAGGGCCGTACTAGGACAAAGATTTGGCCTGGGTATTTAGAAGCCTTGCAGCCAAAAGGGAGTTGTCTGTTCAGAGAGGGACATATCATGTCATTACCACCTACAAGCATACCGCAGTGAACATGTTAGTTTGATGTCCCTCCAGGGCAGCCGATGCACAGAACCCCGCTAAAGTGCTCTCACGTGGGGAAAATGCGCAGCACTGTGTTTGTGGGTGATGTCTCTATGGTTCCCCATAAGTGGAATACCAGAGGACACAAGTGGGACAGGGCTGGTAAAGGGAGTTATGCATGTGTGGAGAAGCTGCCTGTAGGATCCTTTGTGTTTGGTGTCTGCTTATGGGATTGGATTTTTGCAAAGGTACTCTTTGTGGTGTAGTGTGTGTAAAGGGATTTCTTTATGCTGTACTACGTGTGACTTGTTGCAGAAGAGTGTGTGTGTTAAGGGGTGTAGTGTGTGTGTGTGTGTGTGTGTGTGTGTGTAGGAAGTATAGTGTGAGTGTATAGGGACTGTAGAGTGTGTAGAGTTTGTGTGTATAGGAGCTGCAATGTGTATTTAGGATCTGTAGTGTGTGTGTGTGTGTAGGGACTACAGGGAGTGCAGAATTATTAGGCAAGTTGTATTTTTGAGGATTAATTTTATTATTGAACAACAACCATGTTCTCAATGAACCCAAAAAACTCATTAATATCAAAGCTGAATATTTTTGGAAGTAGTTTTTAGTTTGTTTTTAGTTATAGCTATGTTAGGGGGATATCTGTGTGTGCAGGTGACTATTACTGTGCATAATTATTAGGCAACTTAACAAAAAACAAATATATACCCATTTCAATTATTTATTATTACCAGTGAAACCAATATAACATCTCAACATTCACAAATATACATTTCTGACATTCAAAAACAAAACAAAAACAAATCAGTGACCAATATAGCCACCTTTCTTTGCAAGGACACTCAAAAGCCTGCCATCCATGGATTCTGTCAGTGTTTTGATCTGTTCACCATCAACATTGCGTGCAGCAGCAACCACAGCCTCCCAGACACTGTTCAGAGAGGTGTACTGTTTTCCCTCCTTGTAAATCTCACATTTGATGATGGACCACAGGTTCTCAATGGGGTTCAGATCAGGTGAACAAGGAGGCCATGTCATTAGATTTTCTTCTTTTATACCCTTTCTTGCCAGCCACGCTGTGGAGTACTTGGACGCGTGTGATGGAGCATTGTCCTGCATGAAAATCATGTTTTTCTTGAAGGATGCAGACTTCTTCCTGTACCACTGCTTGAAGAAGGTGTCTTCCAGGAACTGGCAGTAGGACTGGGAGTTGAGCTTGACTCCATCCTCAACCCGAAAAGGCCCCACAAGCTCATCTTTGATGATACCAGCCCAAACCAGTACTCCACCTCCACCTTGCTGGCGTCTGAGTCGGACTGGAGCTCTCTGCCCTTTACCAATCCAGCCACGGGCCCATCCATCTGGCCCATCAAGACTCACTCTCATTTCATCAGTCCATAAAACCTTAGAAAAATCAGTCTTGAGATATTTCTTGGCCCAGTCTTGACGTTTCAGCTTGTGTGTCTTGTTCAGTGGTGGTCGTCTTTCAGCCTTTCTTACCTTGGCCATGTCTCTGAGTATTGCACACCTTGTGCTTTTGGGCACTCCAGTGATGTTGCAGCTCTGAAATATGGCCAAACTGGTGGCAAGTGGCATCGTGGCAGCTGCACGCTTGACTTTTCTCAGTTCATGGGCAGTTATTTTGCGCCTTGGTTTTTCCACACGCTTCTTGCGACCCTGTTGACTATTTTGAATGAAACGCTTGATTGTTCGATGATCACGCTTCAGAAGCTTTGCAATTTTAAGAGTGCTGCATCCCTCTGCAAGATATCTCACTATTTTTGACTTTTCTGAGCCTGTCAAGTCCTTCTTTTGACCCATTTTGCCAAAGGAAAGGAAGTTGCCTAATAATTATGCACACCTGATATAGGGTGTTGATGTCATTAGACCACACCCCTTCTCATTACAGAGATGCACATCACCTAATATGCTTAATTGGTAGTAGGCTTTCAAACCTATACAGCTTGGAGTAAGACAACATGCATAAAGAGGATGATGTGGTCAAAATACTAATTTGCCTAATAATTCTGCACTCCCTGTATGGTATGCATGTGTATAGGGACTGTAGAGTTTGTGTGGATAGGAACTGCAATGTGTATTTAGGATCTGTAGTGTGTGTGTGTAGGGACTATAGTGTGCATGTGTATAGGGACAGTAGAGTTTGTGTGTATAGGAGCTGCAATGTGTATTTAGGATCTGTAGTGTGTGTGTGTGTGTGTAGGGACTATGGTATGCATGTGTATAGGGACCGTAGAGTTTGTGTGGATAGGAACTGCAATGTGTATTTAGGATCTGTAGTGTGTGTGTGTGTGTGTGTGTGTGTGTGTGTGTGTGTGTGTGCATGTGTATAGGGACAGTAGAGTTTGTGTGGATAGGAGCTGCAATGTGTATTTAGGATTTGTAGTGTGTGTGTGTAGGGACTATAGTGTGCATGTGTATAGGGACCATAGAGTTTGTGTGTATAGGAGCTGCAATGTGTATTTAGGATTTGTAGTGTGTGTGTGTAGGGACTATAGTGTGCATGTGTATAGGGACAGTAGAGTTTGTGTGTATAGGAGCTGCAATGTGTATTTAGGATCTGTAGTGTGTGTGTGTAGGGACTATAGTGTGCATGTGTATAGGGACAGTAGAGTTTGTGTGTATAGGAACTGCAATGTGTATTTAGGATTTGTAGTGTGTGTGTGTAGGGACTATAGTGTGCATGTGTATAGGGACAGTAGAGTTTGTGTGGATAGGAGCTGCAATGTGTATTTAGGATCTGTAGTGTATGTGTGTGTGTGTGTGTGTAGGGACTATGGTATGCATGTGTATAGGGACCGTAGAGTTTGTGTGTATAGGAGCTGCAATGTGTATTTAGGATCTGTAGTGTGTGTGTGTGTAGGGACTATGGTATGCATGTGTATAGGGACCGTAGAGTTTGTGTGTATAGGAGCTGCAATGTGTATTTAGGATTTGTAGTGTGTGTGTGTAGGGACTATAGTGTGCATGTGTATAGGGACAGTAGAGTTTGTGTGTATAGGAGCTGCAATGTGTATTTAGGATCTGTAGTGTGTGTGTGTAGGGACTATAGTGTGCATGTGTATAGGGACCGTAGAGGTTGTGTGTATAGGAGCTGCAATGTGTATTTAGGATTTGTAGTGTGTGTGTAGGGACTATAGTGTGCATGTGTATAGGGACAGTAGAGTTTGTGTGGATAGGAGCTGCAATGTGTATTTAGGATTTGTAGTGTGTGTGTGTGTGTAGGGACTATAGTGTGCATGTGTATAGGGACAGTAGAGTTTGTGTGTATAGGAGCTGCAATGTGTATTTAGGATTTGTAGTGTGTGTGTGTAGGGACTATAGTGTGCATGTGTATAGGGACAGTAGAGTTTGTGTGTATATTTGCTGCAATGTGTATTTAGGATCTGTAGTGTGTGTGTGTGTGTGTGTGTGTGTAGGGTCTGTAGAGTGTGTTTATAGGTGGTGTAGTGTGTATCTAGGAGCTGTGAAGAGGGCAGTAATTTAGTAATTATTTGTAAAAAAATTGTTTCTCCCCTCACTCTTATTACCGTTCCCTGGTGAGCAAAGGTCAAAGTTACAGAATATAGAAAAAAACATATTACTAGCCAGGTCAGGGTTACAGAATATCGGAAAAATGTATTACTAGTCAGGTCAGGGTTATATAATATCAGAAAAACGTATTACTAGTGAGGTCAGTGTCTTAGAATATCGGAAAAACGTATTACACCTCAGGATCACAGCAGTACTCAGAATCTAAAAGACAAGCCAAAGTCAAACCAGAAATGCTAAGAATAATATCAAGAACACGCTACCAGAACATAAACCACAACACGACAATGAAAAAGGTGTATTGTGCCTTTAAATATACTTATGTGCAAATTGATTGGTCCATGTTACTTCTGCGACCCTATAAAGAACAAGAATGGGGACGCCGAGTAACAGTCTCCACAGGACCGGAAGTGAAGGTGTATACCTTTAAGAAGGCACAGTCACTAACATTTATTTTCCATAAATCAGTTTACAATAACAATACCAATGGGCTGTTAGTTTGTTCTTACTAAACTCGAATTACTACTTGAAAATCTGATAGCCTTCAGTGTGGCATCACAATATTTAATCCCTTTACATTATATTACAATTAAAAAGGCTGCAGAAGTATGTCAGAAACAAAATTGCTGAACATAAGTAAATAAATAAAAAAGCATAGAATAGTCAGTACTTAAAGTGCCATGTGCATCAGGCCGTTCCTGTTGACAGTCTAATTACTTGTTGTTTCAGATTCCTGGAGAGTAATTGGTTTGTTTGGGTCACTCAGATGAACCATATTCCAATGAACATTGACTACGATCAAAACAAAGAATGGCTTTCAACCCAGGTGCCCAGTCTTGCTTCTAATCGTAATATTTAATTACATTAAGTCTATCTCATTACAATACGTTCAAGACACAGGCTTCATTTCTGCCTTCTCTTTCATTATCTTTCCCAGCTTCAAGCCACTTGTAATGTTGATCAATCTTTGTTTAATGACTGGTTCAGTGGACACCTCAACTTTCAGATAGAACATCAGTAAGTAAATCATCTGACAGAGACAAACATGGTACTAGTCCTCCTGTCCCTTTCTAACTCTCTGTGTCCCTTCTCCAGTTTATTTCCCACCATGCCACGGCACAATTACGAGAAGGTGGCTCCTCTTGTCAAGTCACTTTGCAGCAAATATGGCGTTGAGTATCAGTCCAAACCACTATTCACGGCGTTTGCTGATATTGTTCAGTGAGTAACCTTCCTAGCTTAGTGACTTAATTAACAACTCATTTTTTTTTATCTGACACGGTTTTTGATCATTGCACCCATGGATGTAGGCTCAGCTCTTCCATTCAGCATCTTTTTGCTCATGTCCAACTTAATGATTACTAACCGCATCCCTCATGGGACATTGGCTGGACAGACATATGGAAGTGCCTGCCTAGTAAGAGTCCAGCCTGTGGTTCCTTAGGACATTATGATTGATCTCCTTGTGCTTCAAAAACATTATTATTATTATTATGTTATTTTATTAAAGATGATGATAGCAATTCTACTTGAAATATTTGCCCAACTAAGATGAGAAGGTTTTGTTACATGGAACTGACATCTTAGAACTCAAGCTTAGCTATAGTCCGCGAGAAAAGTCAATTAGCTTTATTATTTTGTTGCGTCGTACTACATATTAGAGAAATGTATACATCAAAAAGGGCAACTCTAGGAACAAGTCATTATTTTGTAAGGTAATTGTCTGTTATTTTTTTTAGTATAACCTTTCTTAGCAGTTGTTGCCTCACAGTAAATTAACTGATTTACGACAATTTTTAAATGCATGTAATCTATATAGTAGAGCAATGTACTGGCCATGACTAGTCCATGTATTTGTGGAGCAGTTTCTGTATCTCCTCCTCTGTTCATGCGCTCTCTGTGATGATTTACAGGGGCTGTGTCAGGGTTTTTTCTAAGTGGCAGAAAGGTTTAGAACTTATAACAAAGATATAAAGAAAGCCAATGTGTTGGTAAAGAAATGTGTTGGACTATCTCCACATTTTATTTTTCATACTTCACAAATCAAACACATATTTGTGAAATGAATGTGAAATAAATATACAATTCCTTGTATGCATTGGCCCCTATTTAAAAAGTATGAATTCAATAATTTCATGACAGATTATTCATAAAATAAATCACCACCACTGCTGTCTGTAATAGTTTGCCTTTTTTTTAGTTCCCTCAAAGAGTCTGGGGACCTGTGGTTAGATGCCTATCTGCACAAGTAGGAACTCAACTCCGTGGTGCTACTGGTTTCAACATCAAGGAATTTAGAAACTGAACAAGAATTGAATTCAGTGGCGCTGTTTGGAGTATGGGGGCGGCTGTATATTCAAACATTCTTCTTCTTGTGTGCGGAACAAGTCTTCTACAAACCCAAAGAGCAGAAGACAGACACGGAATCAAGGACAAATAAAACAGTGATTATGGTGATCTGCCTTTGGCAAAAGAATGTAGTATATCTTAAATTCTACATCTCATGTATGGACCAGATATGTAATATCTTCGTGAACATGCCTTAAAGAATCTGACAGTGTACAACAAACAAGCGGTTTTGAATATGAACACCACATTTTTTTAATACTGAGCAAAATATATGAAGTACTTTAAAAAAAAAAAAAAAATCACAGTGCCACGTAGTGGATATTATATACATCACACCTTTAATTAACATTTGATAAATGCATTTTTAATATATTTCAGAAATGCAGAGCAAATTTGTTCTTAACTATTATTTAATAATATTATATATTAAAATACATGTGTCAGCTTGCAGAATTATCCAGGATCCATTCATGTTCATCACATACTTACTGACCTGTAACAATTTTACAACCCTGGCACCTACACAACTGAGCTTGTTAATACATAGGGGACAATCTGTGGCCAGGTGAATATTCCTTTTCTTACACTGCCAGATAGTGTGTTTTGTTTTTTCCATGTGAAATGTAGAGCAAACCCCCATTTAGTTTAAAAGTTGCTCTGTTATCTATAAAAACACTGTCAGCCGTATAACTAGAGTAAACCTTTCATTGAGGATTTCATTACTTTACCACTAGAGAGTGCTCTCCCTGCAATGTGTCTGGGCCGGAGAGCAAAAACACAAATCTCTGACTTCATAGTGGCTTCAATAAGGAGTTTCTTGCCTTTGAATACTTAAAAATTCAGAACTATTTTATAATTTTATGCCAATTAGCTCCCCCCACTCCAAACAATAATTGGACTGTGTTGAATGTATTTGGAAATATACTCCAGTAATGATTTTGTTTGTTACGATTTTATTGAGGAGACTAATAAACTGATTTTTCTCATGAGTGTGTATTGCTGAGCCTAAACTGTGCATTATAGAGACTATATTTAGCCTGAGGTGTGAGTGGGCTTCTTAAAAAAACAAAGCATTGATATAGAATTTACCACTGTGAGTCACTGTTGTAGATTAGATAAAGGAAATTTATTGTCACTCCCCACATTTTAGACTTATTAGTACCTTGATGCACTGCCTTATACTTCTGTTAGCTATGTCTCAGTGCTCTTCTCTCAGTTCTCGATTGGTTGGGGCTTGGGGGAGATGTTGAGGTCACTGGAATTACCCTATATAAAACTCTCACTTCTGTCTCTGTTGGTTCTGCTGTCTACCATGTTTTTTGCTGCCCTTCTCCACTTTCTTTCAACCTCATTGGTCCCTCCCTCCCACACGGACATGGCATCCTTGTGACGTCATCGACGTGGGGCTATAATTTGGCATGGATCTGCAGCGGCAGGCGTCCATCAACATGTTGCAGGAGTCAGGTACACAGGCGCATGTCCACTGAGCGCAAATACCGCAAGGTGATGATGAATATGTTACATTACCCCCCACCTGAAGACTGCCCACTGGGCAGGCAGGACCAGGCTTGAGAGGAAATTTGTCGTGGAAAGAACGAACCTTGCAGCCAGCATGGATGTCCACAAACAACCAATAAAGGAGGGGGAACACTTGGGACAGTATATCTATTGCAAAAAAGTGGTTTGAGCAAAGAAACATGAAAGGTATTAGGAATTCGCAAGGAGGCAGGGAGAGCCAGAGTATACGAAACAGGATTAATCCTATGAAGGATACGAAATGGACAACTGTGACAAACTCCCCTCTCCAAATGAGTTTGCCACGAGCTCCTGGAGGAGCCTGTTTGCCAGCCTCCTGCCCACAGATTATGGGCCCTGCAGGGAAACCTGTAAAAGACTACCAAATTTGACCCACCGTTAGCACTGATTTCACAAAACTTTTAGGGCATTGGACCATATGCACGGTCGGCCAAAATTATGACTTCCAGGAAATTCCTGAACCCCTGAACTGATCTGGGTGATTTTTGGATGTAACATTGGATATCATGTGTTTTGGGGTACTTTTGGGACTTTTTTGAAATTTATGTTTTTTCTGTGCATGGCGATAATTGGATTAGAATTAGAACAGTTACTGATCCAATTATCTCCCAAGCAGAGGGGAGGGATTGTGTGTCGTGTGGGAGTCCGTTATATTGTAAATGTGCTATTATTGGTTTGTAAGTTTGTGTCCCTGTCCCCAACAAGGTCCATGTGGGCGTACCCATTGCATGGGGATTGTCATAAAAGGCCAGTGTGGCACCATTAAAATCTATTCCATCTTACACTCCAAAAATGTGTGTCTTCCTGTTATTGGAGTGAGAGAAGATTTACTCCTGTGTCTGCTGTTCCAGCTTGCAGGGGATTCAACTGGGAAAGTCCTTGTAAGGATTAGATCTAATTCCCCATTCGGCTCCAGGAAGGAGCGGTTCCAGGGCCCCAGTCAAGCCACGGCGACTGTGGCAAAAGTGTTGTGGTTTGTCCCCTGGTAAACAGGGTTGACAAAGCTTCTCTAGCCTCCTTAGACCATATCGTACTGCTAGCCCCCTTGCGTGTCATATTGGTGATGGTGGCTATCACAGAAGAGAACCCTTTGATAAATCTCTTGTAATAAATTAACTTTGCAATACTTGTTTGACATGTTTGTGGTGAGTCTGATGGTCAGGGGAATAAATAAGGATATCATCCAGATAGACTAGGACAAATGAATATATATAGTCCCTGAGTACATCATTAATAAAGTCCTGGAACATGGTTGGAGCATTGCACAACCGAAAGGCATCGCAAGGTACTCATGGTGCCCACTTCTAGTGTTAAATGCCGTTTTCCACTGATGATTTTCCTTGATCCTTACGTCAAGTTTAGTAACTACTTTAGCACCCTGGAGTCTGTCAAACAATTCGGAAATGAGGGGAATGGGATAGGCATTTTTAATGGTGATTTTGTTTAATGCCCTGTAGTCAATCCATGGACGTAATTCAGCATCTTTTTTAGATACAAAAAAGAACCCTGCACCAGCAGACGAGGATGATTTACGTATGCAGTAGTTTCCTTCTTTTGGTCGGGGTTGCTATTTCTAATGCTAAATATCTGTTCATGGATTCTCTTTTTTCAGTGGAATTATTTTCAATGGTCTAAAAATACTTTTTGGTTCATCTCTCTGTATCTTTTATGTTCCAATTTATTCCAGGGTCCAATTTGATCTTCTGTTGTATGTTCTTCGAACCTTTCTCTTTTATTTATTTTTTTATGGCTTATTCCCCTTTTATCTAGTGTTTTCAAGTTCTTACATTGGGGATAATCCAAGTGACGATTTCTTTTAAACCCTTGATAGTTTTTATGCTAATCATGTTGTTGTCCATTCTCGAAATCTTGTTCATCTCTTTATCTCCGGCTAAGTGCTGTGTTGGAGCGTTGCCGTGGTAATCGTATTAATGCTCCACAGCCTGCGCTCGTGAGAGATCTATTCAGCCACTCCTCAATGAAGTGCCAGGGGCCAGTGAAGGAGAGCTTTGTCTCCCCATGGTCCAAGAAGACGGACAGCGAGGCTGGCACTGTCACGTATTCATCCGCTTATAGAAATGTGGTTAATGACATTTACTGTCCACACAGGAAAAGTTGTGCCGAGCAGCAACCTAATCCACAGAAGGTTTAATGCTGAGCAGTAATTGTGCAAATGAAAACCTGGTGTCATGTATTCATCCGCTTATAGAAAAGTGGTTAATGACATTTACTGTCCACACAGGAAAAGTTGTGCCGAGTAGCAACCTAATCCACAGAAGGGTTAATGCTGAGCAGCAATTATGCAAATGAAACCTGGTAACTGACTTTGGGGTCAAAGGCCGGTTACAGCCTATCAGAACTAAAGGAGGGGTATTTAGGCCCAGTTCTCAGCCTGCTCAGTGCCCTGTCGTGGTTTCCCTTGTGGTTGTCTGAGAGCGCGTTCCTGTTTATAGTTTTCTACCTGGTTTTTGACTTTGGCTTTGTTTATTGACTTCTCTACATTCTGGTATCCTGACTCCTGGCTTTCCTCATCGCTGTGTCCCTTTCTGTGTTCCCTGACCTCGGCTAGTATTTTTGACTATTCTTTGTACGTTAAATCCGGCCATTCTAAGGACCGGTAATACTTTACTTATTTGTCATCCGTGCTGTACAGTTCTACGTGCTGGATCAAACAGTAATCCTGACAGGCACTGCATGAGCTGGCAGGGGAGATACCTTGATCTTCCTTGTTGGCATCGGTCCATGGCCATCGTGGCTCATCAGGCATTTGCTGGTTTGTCCGATGGCCAGTCCAGGACTGCCTCCACTAAAAATAGGCTGGGATATACTTTTCTTTTATGTTAAAAATCCTTTGGGCCTGAAAAAGGTCTGCACGATTGAGGTGGCAATATTGCACTTGAATTTACCACGATAACCTAAAAATAAAAAAGTGTCTTTTGATAAACACTCTAATGGCTTGTAAAAGCTCAAGTGCTAAAAACTGGAAAACACATAAGATTAACTCGTTGCCACAAATGAAAGAGTTTATTAAAGTCCAGTGCAAAATAGAATGTGCAACTGTGTCTAGTATGTGTTTTAATCATGAAAAATATAAGATATGAGATAATTGGATAAAGGTATTGGATGCAATGCTATAACCTGGGAGTTCAGATTCTTAGGTGACCAGCATTAAGATGGATAAATTATATTCTCCACATGTTTAATTTATTCTTAACTTTAACTGAATCTATGTTCATTATATTTGTCTTTATGTTGTACGTCTTGTACTATGTGCAATTTTATGGTTCACTACGATATTAATATATATATGCATATAAATCTTGAAAATCAATAAAGAATACTCCCACTTCCGAGGCATCAACCTCCTGGATAAACAGCAGGGATGGGTCAGGGTACTTAAGAATGGGAGCTGAAGCAAAAGGAGTCTTGAGAAACTGAAAAGGATTATTGTCTCTGGGGTACATACAGTGAGGGAATTTAAGTATTTGATACCCTGCTGATTTTGAACGTTTGCCAACTAGAAAAGAAATGATCAGTTTATAATTTTAATGGTAGGTGTATTTTAACAGTGAGAGACAGAATTAAAAAAAAAAAAAACGCATGTCAATTAATGAAATAAGTATTTGACTTCGATGTAGTATTTGGTGGCAAAACCCTTGTTGGCAATCACAGAGGTCAGATGTTTCTTGTAGTTGGGCACCAGGTTTGCACACATCTCAGGAGGGATTTTGTCCCACTCCTCTTTGCAGATCCTCTGCAACTCATTAAGGTTTTCGAGGCTGATGTTTGGCAACTCGAACCTTCAGCTCCCTCCACAGATTTTCTATGGGATTATGGTCTGGATACAGGCTAGGCCACCCTAGAACCTTAATGTACCTCTTCATGAGCCACACCTTTGTTGCCTTGGCTGTGTGTTTTGGGTCATTGACATGCTGGAATACCCATCCACGACCCATTTTAAATGCCCTGGCTGAGGGAAGGAGATTCTCACCCAAGATTCGACGGTTCATGGCCCTGTCCATCGTCCCTTTGATGCGGTGCAATTGTCCTGTCCCCTTAGCAGAAAAACACCCCCAATGTATAATGTGTCCACCTCCCTGTTTGTCGGTGGGGGTGGTGTTTTTGGGGTCATAGGCAGCATTCCTCCTCCTCCAAAAAAAGCGAGTTGAGTTGATGCCAAATAGATCGATCTGATCACAACACTTTCACCCAGTTCTCCTCTGAATCATTCAGAGGTTCATTGGCAATCTTCAGATAGGTCTGTACATGTGCTTTCTAGAGCAGGGGGACCTTGCGGGCGCTGCAGGATTTCAATCCTTCACGACGCAGTGTGTTACCAATTGTTTTCTTGGTGACTATGGTCCTAGGCCTTGATCATTAACAAGATGCTCCTGTGTAGTTTTGGGCTGATTCCTCACCATTCTCATGATCGTTGAAGCTCCACTAGGTGATATCTTGCATGGAGCACCAGACCGAGGAAGACTTATTTTGTGTTTCTTCCATTTGCGAATAATTGCACAAACTGTCACCTTCTCACCAAGCTGTTTGGTGATGGTCTTGTAGCCCATTCCAGCCTTGTGTAGGTATACAATCTTATCCCTGACATCCTTGGACAGCTCTTTTTGGTCTTGGCCATGGTGGAGAGTTTGGAATCTGATTGATTCTGTGAACAGGTTTCTTTTATACAGGTAATGAACTGAGATTTGGAGCACTGCATTTAAGAGAGTGCTTCTCATCTCCGCTAGTTACCTGTATAAAAGACACCTGGGAGCCAGAAATTTTGCTGGTTGAGAGGGGATCAAATACTTAATTCACTCATTGACATGCAAATCAATGTATAACTCTTTTTGACATGCAAAAGAGGAAAAAAGAGTTAGCGCTTAATAACAGGATGAGGCAGCAACTTTAAAAGGGAATCCCTCACACCCTTAGAATAAAATGGAAGAAGAAAAAGGTAAAAAAAAGTTGCGCCAGATAAAAACCAATGGATAAAATGAGACAACAAGTAAAATAAGTCCAATATAAAAGAGTAAATCCAATAGAAATAAAATGAGTCTTAGCTGAATAGGTCTTCCTTAAATACAGTAGTAATACAATGGAGGATCCGGAACAGTGTACTCGCTTTCTTTCCTCAAATGGATCCAGTGATATGTAAAGATAAAACAGATGACCAGGATAGTGTAGTATGTTCACTGGGATATAGCAGATAATATAAAAATAATAATATAGCACTCACATTTGATAGAGCTATAGCTAGCTCTAGTGTGGAGGGCGTACCGCGGTTTAGATCCCCGCTTGTAGGATATGGTGCAGTTTTCTTTTCTTCAAGTGTAAGTGCCACTCAAAGAGAATAAAAAGACACAACCAATAGTGCTCTCTGTATAAAATAAATGGAGATAAAAATAATAAAATGGTACTCACAAGGGAGGAGCAGGCTATCTGCTCCTTGATATTGGCGTAGGTGGAATAATCCCCACCAAGGATTGCTTGGAGTCCAGAAGTCGAAGGTGCCATGTAAAAGTAGGGAATATAAAATATCTAAAGGTAATTGATACAACCAAAGGAGTGACCAAAAATTCTTTAATAATTAAAATACACAATATAAATATCCAAAAACGTGTTTCGCCTATAATGGCTTTATCAATATGGAATAAAACATATAACCTGGGAGGGTGACTTTAAATAAGGGTACAGATGTTTGAAAATGGTGCCTAAAACAGAGGTCAGCCAATCAGATTGCAGGAAAGTGAAATAAAAAAAATATTAATAAATACAATAAAAGTCATATATAATGTTAGTATAGGTTGTTAAATAATCTTTACACATGTTTGCCAATATTAAACGTCAAAAACGAGCGTTATTTATGCATAACAACAGTTGTTTATGTGCGGTCACGTGATCCGCGTACCGCAATGGTTGATGGGAACTGTAGTAATACAATTCTCTGTCTGCGCGCATGCGCTGTCTTAGTGGAGTGTAAATGCGGCCAAACAGAAGGGAGAGTGGGCGGGGTATATGTAAATAAATATCGGCACGCACAGAAGCTGCGGCCGATAGGGAGTATAATGGAAGGCTAGAATAATTAGCCAAATATATTATAAAAGAGCAAGTAAATAAATAGTATATGTAAAAATACATGAAGAAGTACATATATGTATATAAAAAATAAATACACATATATAAAAAAGGGAGAAAAATACACAAATTAAGACAAAATAAAACATGAAAATATGATAAAATAAAAAATGTTGATAATTCATAAAAAGAAGCAAGTTAAAAGGTACATAGTAACATATAAAATTGAACAAATCAAAATCTGAATTTAGACCATGGGGTATCAGGGTCTTAAGTTCGTATACCCATTTCATTTCTGTTCGCCCCAAGATATTTTTTATATCTCCTCCTCTCCAGGGAACAGAACATTTCTTGATACCAATACACTTTAACATTCTAGGATCTTTATTATGTATAAGAAAATGTTTGGATACTGAATGATTCAGATATCCATTTGTAATATTTCTGCAATGTTCGCTTATTCTTGTTTTCAAGCACTTTGTGGTCATTCCAACATATTGGAGGCCACAGGGGCATTCAAGCAGATAAATAACATTTCTTGTGGTACAGTTAATAAAGTCATCAATTTTGTAAACCTTATTTGTTACTTTCGAAGTGAATTCAGTTATTTTAGATGGTAATGATGAATCCGTAGATCTACAGACTAAACATGATTTGCATTTGCAGTAACCTTTAATTTTGGGGAATAAGGATAAAGCTGGTTTGGTTTTTATTTGCCTAGTAAAATTCTTAGTTAAGATTGATTTGAAATTAGGAGCTCCTCTGAATACTACATTAGGGTGTTCTGGTAGAATTTTATTAAGGATTTCATCATGTTTTAAAATATACCAATTTTTTTTATGATCTTTTTTTATATGACCACTTTTATTATTGTAATTAAAAATAATAGGGAGAGGCATAGGCCCATCTGTATTTTTAGTTTTATATGTTAACAGTTCATCTCTGTCTTTATGTTGGATATCATTAATTGTGTCTGTTAGGGTTGAGTCAGAGTAGTTCTTTTCAATAAACTTATTTTTTTTAAATTCTGCTTGTTCATTAAAATCATTCAGTTGTGAGCAGTTTCTACGTAATCTTAAAATTTGACTCTTGGGGGCACTATCCAGCCATGGTTGGTAATGGCAACTGGATTTGTCAATTGCAGTGTTTACACAAAGTTTTTTTTTAAATGTTTTAGTATGTATTTGACCATTATTAATAAAAATATTAAGATCTAAAAAGTTGATTTGTTCGTTACTGTATTCAGAGGTTAAAATAATGCCTTTATTGTTAGTGTTAAGTAATAAGACAATCTTCTGGGCCTTCCCAAATAAAAAAGAGGTTGTCGATATATCTAAAATAAGAGACCAGGTTTTCCCTCCAGGCATGGTCACCGTAAATAGCTTCAGACTCCCAGTGTGCCATAAATAAGTTTGCATAGCTGGGGGCAAACCTAGTCCCCATGTATGTACCTCTTTTCTGCATATAAAAAGAATCGAGAAACCAGAAATAATTATTTGTCAAAATAATATTAATACCTTCAAGAATAAAATCGATTTGTATATCTGCTATATTCCCTTCTTTTGTTAAAATCTCTTTAATTGCTTGACATCCAATATTGTGAGGTATGATGGTATAGAGAGATTGGACATCACATGTAAAAAATGTTACAAAGGACATTTCCTGAGGATACAAAGGACATGCTCTCCCTTTAGGAGGGAAAGTACCAGGTAAAAAGTCAAACATACAATCCTACAGTCTGTGGGGTGGTAATTTGTCAGGCTCGTTTTTATCAAACACTGCTTTTAAGGACTTGTATTGTAGAGGTAATTCTACAGACAAGGGAGGAGCTGTAGGAGGATTAATAGTGCGTAGTGGATTGACATTGGTGATTCATTGGACATTTCAGACTTTATGACACTATTTCAACTTATTCACAATCAAAACGTAGGACAGTGTTTAAGCAACCAATAATAATCTAGGGCAATCTGAAAAGAAGGGGAAGCAATGACCTGCAACCCTGTAGGCATAAGTAAAAACTTGGTTTCATGAGTGTAATAGGAGAACATAAAGGTTTACCATCTTCAACAGCCAAGGGCGTCCATTTCTCCCTTGGGAGGGAATTATTGTACTGTTTGACAAAAGTGGAATCATTAAAATTCTTGGCTGCACCTGAGTCAATCAAAGCTTTGATGGAATTGGTTTTGGTGGCATCATTCCAATTCAAGGTGACAAGGAGAAGTGAACTGTTTAGAGGCAAGAGAGGGGGCTCTGATTTTACACCAAAGGCTGGCCCCCTGAGGGACGTTAGGTGTAAGCGTTTCCTGGGAAAAACTGGCATTTGGTTTGCAATTGTTTGTTTGATATCCATGAAAGCAGAGTATAGTTAAACAAAATATTGAAAGGTTAAACAATGAAGACCATTTTTTACAGCCTTCTTTGTTTTATTTACCGAGGGTGCCAATATTAGTGGAGGGCACTGTATTTTCTGGCCAATACAAACAATTGTCTGGAAATGTATTTATAAACAGAGTTATACATGGGACACAATGCTACACATTTAGACTAGAAGAAAGGAGATTTAGTACAAGGCAAAGAATAAGGTTTTTTACAGTAAGAAAAATAAGGATTGGGGATTATCTGCCTGAAGAGGTGGTTTTATTAGAGTCTGTAAGTATGTTTAAAGAGCAATACTTGCAAAAACTTAAATAAAAACAGGGATATCATTTTTAATTAGTGGAGTAACAGCTTCTTGATCCAATGAGAAATCTGACTGCCATTTTGGGGTCAAGAAGGAATTTTTTCATAGTTTGTTGCAAAATTGGAAAGCGCTTCAACTGCAAAAACATATGTGAGAAAGGCTGAACTTGATGGACACATGTTTCTTCTTAGCTATGTAACTATGTAATCAAACACAAGCAGTAACATGACAAGCAGTAATATGCACATATACATATATATATATGCAATTGTAAAGTATAATATATCTCTGTTGTTGTGCCTGCAGTGTCCAGCTATGTGCATTCTTTTTTGAGGTGGGGGGTGAAGAAGGGGTATCTTAACAGTCTGTGCCTATTAGCACCAGACGTGACTTTATTTACTCTAGTACGTAGCCCTTTATAACCATATTCAACTTTCAATTATAGCTTTTAGATGGCAAGCTCTCAAGCCACCTTGCAAAAAATGTTGCTTAAAAGTGCTGTAAACAATAGATTTTATGTTCAAGGGAAGGAACTCACCATAGTTCCCTTATTTTATTTTTTTTCCCCTAAAAACCAGCTCTGCGTAATGAATTGACCACTTACAAGTTTTATTATAAATACTTATAAGAGAGCTCAATTTGTAAATTCTAATGAAATCCTAAAATTTCTAATCCTAATATAGCTTACAAAAATGTCAGAACACATAACTCCATACAAACTGTGATACATCAATAGCATTTAACATCTGCAGATACATGTGTAAGATTACCAGTGCATATTATTGACAGTGCTTCTCATGTATTCCCATTAAATGTCTCTGTATAGATATTTTCCTCAGAATTTAAAATAGTGTCATTATGTTTATGTGTACCACGTTACAAGACTAGGCATTGTCCTATAGGCAGGGGCCTCCTTTAATCCTTTACATGCTTTGCAGTAATGTGACCTCCAAGGGTGTTTGACAGCTATTGGCCATAGTTTTGCCCTCCATTTGAAATACTGTTCGTATCTCTCTTTGTCTTTGTCCAGCTCATGCAAGTAGTCAGCAAGTCCTTTAGGGCTAGGGAAATCGTCTACATGGATAAATGAATCTTGAGGAATGAACTTCTCATAGTTTTCTCTGGGTGGCCCAAGAACGACAGGTACAGCCCCAGATAGCAGGGCATTTCTCCAAAGCTTTTCAGTGATATAGTCTCTATGCTGTGAATTCTCAAAAGCAAAATAGAACTTGTATCTAGAGAGGGTTTCTTGCATACCTTTCCTTGGCAAAAACATACGTTGCCTACCATAGACATCAATCTGCATGTGTTTCTTTAGCTTCTGATAATATTTAACTCTTTTGGAGCTTGGATTCCAGTTGCTCACTACCCAGGCTGCCAAAAGGGTCTTTTTAGGGATTGTAAAGTTCTGATTGATGTTGTTCTTCACCAGCCAGCCATAAGGAGTGAAGATATCAGAGTCACTTCGATAAGACATGGTGAGGTTGATGAGATTGTCCATGAAGCCTAAATTTGGAGAGTGACTGGGTGATTCCAAATTGAACCATACCCAATATTGCTCTGGGGGTCTAGCTATCTGGGGCATTTGTTTCTTGGATTGACAGACATCTCTATGATGGAAAATGACAGCATTAGCTGTGAGGTAATAGTTGTGATCTGCTGTGAAGAAGCATCCCTGATCTTCACCGGATTTTTCACAGTGGTTTAGAGTAAAGCGATCGCCAAAGGGCCATGTCCAAAGCAAGATAGTCATGATACCTTCCTTCTTAGTAAAAATCAGAGTTGGCTCAAAATCTGGGCTGCACCAATTGGTGTTGATGTAGGTTAACAAAATGAAGCTAAATAATGTAATTAGCAGAAAAAATAGGACATATTTGTGGCATGATGTGGATTGTGATTCTGGCTTCATTTCCTCCCTGGAAAACAGCAAACCACATACAGATTTAGTGACAAATAGCACTCTGAATCAGCGATTACATAAACTCTCAAATTATTAAATGTGCTGTGCCAACTATTATGCCAAAATGTTTTGTTGTTTTATTCAATTTGTGTGTTTAAGCACTCAAAATAAAAAATGTTCATGGTATGAGGTCGATATAAAAGAAACATTAATTTGCAACAGTTGTCTGCTTGAGGCACAAGAATAGCTATGTTTCTGGTATACATAAGACTAGAATATTGCTCCCATGAAACGAAAACAAAAATGGAGACTAGCAAGCAAACAAATAAAGGAACAGAAAAAAAAACAAAGCATAAATAGTAACTCTCACTGTGTGTACATGCTAATCCATATCTAGCTTACAGCTACAGAGGTCTATGTAGGAAGATGTAGAGCTTTAATGTGTATGTATTAGTGTAGACGTAGGTTAGGACTTTATCTGCACAGGGCCACCTTATGACACTTATGTTGTGTCCAAGTTCCAACTTGTCTAGTCCCTTCAAATTACATGGTGGGCAGGTTTAGCTTCTGGAGGAATGCTGCTCGGACAAGGTGAGTGTCTGGTCTCCCCGCATATCCACCAGGGAGTCATCCACTCCCCAACGATATCTGATTGCTGCATCCCCGAGCTGCCTGGCAATTAGGGTCAACTGCCTCCAAACCACAAGGCCTGTGAATGGGAGGTCTCCATTGCCAGCCACTGTGCTTCCCTCAAGTTGTACGGTGCCAAGGTGTCTGGAGCGGGACATGATAGCTAGTAAAATTATCACATCCCTAGTCACTGCTATAGTGTCCCTGGGTGCATCTTCTGAGGCTGATGCAACTTTACAGATTCTGAACACGGATAGTATCACCTGGTTCGGTACCACCTTTTATGCCAGCGACAGTAGACACTGGATAAAAAGTATTAAGCCGTCTCCTCAAATTTGCTCTGGTTTACCTTGGAGACAGATATTCCGTCTTCTGTGTCTTGATGCAAATGTTGTAAGTTTCTGGACCTGTTGAATTCATGCATTTGACTTTGAGTTGGTGCTCTCTGGTGCCTTCTCTAGATTCAACTGCTGTAATACTAAAGTAATTAAGAGCCCCCATCTCCTTCTGCGCGCCTAGGAGGTCGGCTTTCCAAATAAAGAGTCTTCATCGGAATCCGACTTGCAGTAGAAGGCACCCATTGAAGGTGAGATTCTGCCCCTCAGTAACCTCTGAGGCCTCATCCTTGCTCTGCGCCTCTGGAGCCATCAAAGAGCTGGTGGCATAGGCTGTTCAAATGAGAGCTGAAAATCAGACATTTTAGAGGTTTCTGGTGTCACATATTCATCCGCTTATAGAAATGTGGTTAATGACATTTACTGTCCACACAGGAAAAGTTGTGCCGAGCAGCAACCTAATCCACAGAAGGGTTAATGCTGAGCAGTAATTGTGCAAATGAAACCTGGTGTCATGTATTCATCCGCTTATAGAAAAGTGATTAATGACATTTACTGTCCACACAGGAAAAGTTGTGCCGAGCAGCAACCTAATCCACAGAAGGGTTAATGCTGAGCAGTAATTGTGCAAATGAAACCTGGTGTCATGTATTCATCCGCTTATAGAAAAGTGGTTAATGACATTTACTGTCCACACAGGAAAAGTTGTGCCGAGCAGCAACCTAATCCACAGAAGGGTTAATGCTGAGCAGCAATTATGCAAATGAAACCTGGTAACTGACTTTGGGGTCAAAGGCCGGTTACAGCCTATCAGAACTAAAGGAGGGGTATTTAGGCCCAGTTCTCAGCCTGCTCAGTGCCCTGTCGTGGTTTCCCTTGTGGTTGTCTGAGAGCGCGTTCCTGTTTATAGTTTTCTACCTGGTTTTTGACTTTGGCTTTGTTTATTGACTTCTCTATATTCTGGTATCCTGACTCTTGGCTTTCCTCATCGCTGTGTCCCTTTCTGTGTTCCCTGACCTCGGCTAGTATTTTTGACTATTCTTTGTACGTTAAATCCGGCCATTCTAAGGACCGGTAATACGTTACTTATTTGTCATCCGTGCTGTACAGTTCTACGTGCTGGATCAAACAGTAATCCTGACATTACGACATGGCCATAGATCCTGTAGAACTGTGTCAGCACATAGCTGCTTGCGAGAGGAAATTAGAGGAGAATGATCACCACATGGATCAATTCACTCAGGCTTTAAGTACGCTTCTCGCTAGAACGGAGCATCTGCAGCCTGCAGCGTCTCCTCCTATAGCACCTCTACCCTGTGTACCTCCACCCACTGTTAATAGGACTCCTTGCATCTCCTTATCACCATCCCTACAGTTTGATGGCAATATCCAGGAATGCAGGGGTTTTCTTAATCAGGTGGAGTACCATTTTGAGGCCTCACCAGGGTCATTCCCCACGGACAGAGCAAGAATTGGTTATCTAATGAATCAATTAAAGGGCAAGGCCCTTGCCTGGGCTAATCCGTTGTGGGAGAGTAATCGGAGCATAGCTCATAATTACCAGGAATTCCTTGCCGAATTCAAGCTCACGTTTGAGCCATTGGGTAGAGAGGATGACGCCTCCACTGCCCTAATGCACATCAGACAAGGTAACCGGTCTATCTCGGATTATGCTATTGAATTCCGTACCTTAGCTTCCGAGGTAGACTGGACTAACAATGGGTTAATCTCAGCATTCAAAAAGGGTCTCTCAGAGACTATACTAGATAAGATAGCCGCTAAAGAATTACCTAAGAGTCTTAACGAATTTATTACGTTTGTCATGCATATTGATAATAGGTTAAGACTCAGAGAAGTCACCAGAAGCAAGACCAGACGTACGGCTATGTCCCTAGCACCTCAATTCTCTAAACCTGTTTTGTCTAACCTCCCTGTACAGTCCGAACCCGAACCTATGCAGTTGGGGGTCACTAGACTGTCAGAGGCCGAAAAACAGTATAGGAGAAGGGAGGGGTTATGCCTATATTGCGGTAGAAAGGGACATATGATAACTAATTGTCCAGTGCGTCCGGAAAACTTCCGCACCTAAGAACCTTAAGGGGACAGATCTTAGGTGTGATGGAGTTGTCCTCTAACAAAAACAAAAGTAGATTCCTCCTTGAGGTACCCACCTTATTTGATTGCACATTCCTGTCCTATTGTGTTTTACACCTCACCTCCTATAGAATGTAAGCTCGATTGAGCAGGGTCCTCTTCAACCTATTGTTCCTGTAAGTTTATTTGTAATTGTCCTATTTATAGTTAAATCCCCTTTCATAATATTGTAAAGTGCTACGGAATCTGTTGGCGCTATATAAATGGCAATAATAATAATAATAATAATAATAATAATCTATTTCCATTGATAACAAGAAGTTTTCTTGCAGTGCCCTAATGGACTCAGGTGCTGCTGGAAATTTTATTGATGTCCAGTTTATTAGGGGTAATGAGATACCGGTCAGGGAGAGACCTACGCCGCTAGCTGTAGAGGCTATTGATGGTAGACCACTCACACAACCGCTTATAACCCACGAAACTGTCCCTATTACGATCTCCATTGGGGCCTCCCATAGGGAGGAGATGACGTTTCAGGTTATTACTTCTCCATCATGTCCTATCATATTAGGGTTTCCGTGGCTGAGTAAGCACAATCCCTATATTGACTGGGCTAATGGGGAGATATTAGAATGGGGTAAAGAGTGTATGGGGAGATGTATAAAACCAGTACTAAAGAGATTGGATACTATTGACCTTCCCACTACCACTCCCCAAACTCCTGGAGTTCCCATACAATACCGAGAACTTCAGGAGGTGTTTAACAAGGCTCAATCCGATGTATTGCCTCCCCACAGAGCATATGACTGTGCCATTAACCTGTTTCCAGGCGCTATGCCACCTAAGGGGGCAGTTTATGCCTTATCTCCCCAGGAGAGTAAAATAATGGAGGAATACATCAAAGATTCCTTGAGCAAAGGGCACATAAGAAAGTCATCCTCACCAGCTGGTGCAGGATTCTTTTTTGTTGAGAAAAAGGGTGGTGAGTTACGCCCTTGCATAGACTACAGGGCACTTAATAAAATCACTGTAAAAAATGCATACCCTATTCCACTCATTTCCGAATTGTTCGATAGACTTCAGGGAGCTAAAGTATTTACTAAGCTTGACCTTAGGAGCGCTTACAATTTGGTTAGAATTAAAGAGAATCATGAGTGGAAGACGGCATTTAATACCCGTAGTGGACACTATGAATATCTGGTAATGCCATTTGGGTTATGCAACGCCCCGGCCGTATTCCAAGACTTTATAAATGATGTACTCAGGGAATTCATTTACTCATTTGTCTTGGTTTATTTGGACGATATTTTGGTGTATTCCCCTGATCTTCAAACTCACCACTCCCATGTGAAACAGGTTCTGCAGACATTGTTGAAAAATAAACTTTATTGTAAATTAGAAAAGTGCATATTTGACCAGCCTGAAGTCCACTTTTTGGGTTACAACATCTCTGCATCGGGATTTCAAATGGATCCTAAAAAACTAGAGGCTGTACTACACTGGCCATTACCCTCTGGTTTAAAAGCCATTCAAAGGTTTATTGGTTTTGCCAACTATTACAGAAGATTCATCAAGGGATTTTCTTCTGTAATAGCCCCAATCACAAATATGACTCGCAAAGGGGTTAGTAGCACGGTATGGTCCAAAGAGGCTGTGAATGCTTTTGAGACTCTTAAACAAAGATTTGCCTCTGCGGACATACTAAAACATCCTGACACCAGTAAACCTTTTATATTGGAGGTTGATGCATCCGAGACAGGGGTAGGGGCTGTTCTCTCTCAGAGAGAAAGCCAG